ACCTCATCTCTTGCTCTCTCTCCCCTTGCATATTACACCCCCATCATTCTAGTCTTCTTTCAAGTAATTAAACACCCCTAGAGCCTTTGCTTATGCTAGTTCCCTGGCCTCGCAAGCATTCTTCACACAGCTGGCTTCTTTTCATCCTTCAGGTCTCCTCACGGAGGCCTTCCCAGCCACTGCATGCAAAGCTGCCTCTTTCTTACACCCTTTACTACACTAACTATGATGTGAAATAGGTTTACTTCTTTTTTGTCTGTCTCTCCAGTAGAATTCTTGCTCCATGAAGCCAAAGATCCAGTCGTCCTGTTTTACAGTTAAAGCCCCAAGATTTACCACATCTGGCACATTACAGAAGTTAAATAAATATCTTCTGAATGACTGAAAGAATAATTACAGATGGTTTCATATCAATCAATAAGTATGTAAAATATTTCATATGATCATTATGTATTATCAATCCCAATTCTATTTTACCTGTAAATTTTATTCGTATGCTTGCTTTTTATCCATTTTCTTATTCATTACTCATGAAAAAAAAAGTTCAAGTGTCAGCTATATAGACTATAAAGATGAATAACCCATGTTCTTCATGTTTTAAATATCACATCATCTATTTACCAAGGAAAATCAATGTGGATAAAACAAAATCATACATTTACTAAAAAAGTTATTAACTCAAATACACAGCCTTAAATCTAATTAAAATTGTTGAAATAAGGGGAAGAAAAGATGAGCCCTTTGAAACAAGTATGAGTCTAGTACATCTATCAAAAAAGGAAATCAAGCTAATTAAGCACCACTTTTTCTTAGTGAATCCATTTTGACTCTTGGTGATCATGTCTTTCTTTTTATAAATGTTTGCAGTACATCTTCTAAGTGTAACATATTGTAATAAATTGTAATATCTTATTACTAGGGCTATTTGTCAAATTTAGCTTCTTCTACAATGGGAGTAATTAGGGGAAATCCATTCAATGGTATACTTTGATTTGTCTGTAGCCCCAATATTTAATTTTTATTGAAACACTGTGAAAGAAGAGCGACAATAAACAATGTTTATTGAAAGAGGGCATAAATGAGAAAAGACGGAGAATCTCTGCTGAAGGCAGGTAAACTGCAGCTAAATGTAAGAACTTTCTAGTAGGTAGAGCTGCCTACCCGCAGGCTGCTTGTAAAGCAGAAAGCTCTCCATCACTAAAAATCTTTCAGGAGAGCTAACAGGCTATTTTCCCCAGGATGAGCAGAAACAGTCCTGACTTAGGAGGCAACATTGATCAGATCAGTGTCTTTCAAACTATGGTAAACAAGCACCTTTTAAAATATTTCCAATTTGTAGTGGACCGATACTTTCACAAATTACAAAAGTATCACACATTTGGATGTCACCACAATGTCAAATTGCTACAGCGGCTTCTAAATGCTTACTTTGATTTTTGTTTGAAACTCACTGCGTACAGGTGACAAGCCGGCCTGCGTGCACGAGCAAACTATCCTCTGAGTAGCACTGGATTAGAGAGTTTGTAAGAGATTGTTGAGGTTCTACAGTTTGTCAAATTTACCTAGTCTGTCTTCCTTTCTATATTCATTCATTAGGCATAATATCAAACTACTTATTTCCAAACATCTAGCCTCTCCAGCAATTTCAAAAAAACATAATCTAATCTGAATATATTAGATCAACTGAGATTTTATCTCCCTAAATTGAATAGCAAAATTTACTTTTTACCAAAGCACATCTGAATGCTTATTTAAAACTGGTTACAAAAAATGTATTTTCATCCATTACCACACCTACTTTTCTGGTGTCACTTTCTTTGCATAATCTGATAATGAAATGTGTGACAAATTATAGTTGATCACACATCTGAAGTTCTAACTTTGTTTTACTAGCTGGCAGTAAAAGTGACTTGGGGATAAAGTGGGGGTACATTCATGAATTTCAGAAGCATGGAGTAGAGGAAATAAATTTTTTCAACTACCTATGTAACAGTCAGTGCTGATCTGGCCAAAGCAATATGGTGAAGAATTAGAAAAAGAGGAGACGGGGCGCCTGGGTGGCTCAGTCGGTTAAGCGTCCGACTTCGGCTCAGGTCACGATCTCGAGGTATGTGAGTTCGAGCCCCGCGTCGGGCTCTGTGCTGACTGCTCAGAGCCTAGAGCCTGTTTCAGATTCTGTGTCTCCCTCTCTCTCTGACCCTCCCCCATTCATGCTCTGTCTCTCTCTGTCTCAAAAATAAATAAATGTTAAAAAAAAAATTATAAAAAAAGAAAGAAAAAGAGAAGACAAAATTAAGAGTTGCCCATTCTCATATTTCCCCCAATACTTCTGGCTTTCTCTCTCTGAGGACAGTGAGGCATTTTTGTTTAAAATCTGTTATCTTCTTCTCATTCAGAACAAAACAAAACAAAAAAATAAAATAAAACAACCCTCCTTCTCAAGAGACAATTTCAGGATTTATGGACTATTATCTCCCAACTCCATCATCTATGAATATTCTCCCTTCAGTAATTCCAGTATTCCTTAATTCACCCTACTTGTACTAGAGCAGTTCTTTTTTATGTTTATTTATTTGAGACAGAGAGAGAATGTATGTGCATGTATGCAGAAGAGGGTCGGGGGTGGGGGGTGGTACAGAGGATACAAAGCAGGCTCTGTGCTGTCAGCACAGAGCCTGATGTGGGGCTTAAACTCAGGAATTGTGAGATCATGACCTGAGCCAAAGTCAGACGCTTAACCAAGTAAGCCACCCAGGTGTCCCTAGAACAGGAGTTCTTAACTGTGAGCATATGGCTGGGTGTTGAGAGGTCTATGAACTCTCTGAAACTCCAAATGTTTTTTAAAATTGTGGGTGAATGAGCAATTATATGGACAAAATGTACACAGTTGCCAACATATTCTTAAAGGGTACAATAATCCAAAATGATTAAAAGTATCTTTCTTAAAAATGTGATCTGGGGGCACCTGGGTGGCTCGGTTGATTAAGCGTCCAACTCTTGATTTCAGCTCAGGTCATGATCTCACGGTTTGTGAGTGTGAGCCTCACATCAGGCTCTGTGCTGACAGCATGGAGCCTACTTGGGATTCTCTTTCTCTCCCTCTCTCTGCCTCTCCCCATTCTATCTTTCTCTCAAAAATGAATAAACTTAAAAAAAAAAAAGTGATCCGAATAGAAATACAGAGTACAAGGGCACCTGGGTGGCTCAGTCGGTTAAACGTCCGACTTCAGCTCAGGTCATGATCTCACAGTTTGTGGGTTCGAGCCCTGTGTTGGGCTCTGTGCTGACAGTTCAGAGCCTGGAGCCTGCCTTGGATTCTGTGTCTCCCTCTCTCTCTGCTCCTCCCTCATTCATGCTCTGTCTCTATCCCTCAAAAATAAATAAAAGTTAAAAAAAGAAAGAAAGAAAAATACAGACTACAGGTTTTTCATTAATTGAATAGGTATATAAAGATATTACATTCTATAACCAAAAGGACTTTAGAAATAAATCCCTTCATCTTCCAGAACATAAAATTGACATTTGGAGAGTTTAAGGAAGTGTTCAAGGCCATATTGCTGGCTGGAAGGCAGAAGCCAGAGAAAAACGCCAGCCTCCTGCTTCCAGGTCCCTTCCCTAACATCCTGCCTCCTACACAGAGCCAGACAGGATTATCAGTAAGCATGCTACAGGCAATCAACAATCCCACCTCTGATAAATATATGACCTCAACACAAATCAAGTAATTTTTTGAATACTACTGTATAAGATACACATTTTCTTTTTTCTTTCACTACAGGTATCTGAAAATAGATGTTCTCTTAGCTCCATTTTAGAACTGGTTTCCTTGCCAGTAGGCACCGTCAACAACTTGTCAATCGTCTGAAAGACCTGAGTGCCTGATCCCACTGCAATCAATCAGAGAAGGGCACACACTTGACCTGGAAGGGACAAAGGATGTTTAGGAGAAAGAGGGCTTTAAGGAGGCACTTTAAACACATTTCTGCCTGAGTCAATTACTCAGAAACCCCACAATACAAAGTAATAGTTGAGTAGATCTTTCAGTAACTGTTAAAGCTATTTGGAAATTTTAAGCAAAACCTCTTTTCAAAGTTTATTTTCTGTTTATTCATACTAAACTATACTAAAGAATAGCAAATGCAAAAATCAATGATGATGTTTAGTGAAAAGAATTTTTATAGGAAATAATTAAGTAAGAAAACTCAAAAAGAATGCCCTACTTTGGTGTGAGTTAGGATGTGCAGAAATCCAAAATTTGTTTTTAATTTTTTTCAAAATAATTAGAAAACTGAAATCCTGTAAATAAGAATCCAAAAAACCCTTCACTCCCCCCCGCCACCCTTGACTTCTGAAATACAGTGCAACTTTCTACCATCTGTTATTTTAGAGAAGAAACAGTAATGAACATATGGGCTTTCTCTCTCAAGCAGCTGTAGTGTAGTTAAAGTTATAATAATTGTCTTTCTGTAAGATAAATTTACATTAAAAACCTGGCCAGTTAAAAACAAATGGCTCAGCCTCAGAGCCTTCCAGAATAAAATTAAGAAATACAGAATTATCTATGACATATTACAGAGATTTAGAGGATATCCTCTAAATCTTATGTTTTTATGTTTAAGGTTAAACCAACGTAACTCATGATGCCCAAATCAGTTTATACAGAGTCTACAATTCATGTTTTCTCTTTCCCAATCAAAATGCTAGGAGCCTCAAACAGTAGTTAGGTACACATACATAAAAATCAGTAACTCAATTCTTGAAAGCTTATGATATAAACCCACCACTTCTGTGGGTCAATGAACTCTAACCCAAAAGCATATTTATTTATAAGAAAAATCACAATACATGTGGCACATAATCTTCCATTTCAAATATATGTATGTATGTGTGTGTGTGTGTGTGTGTATACATATATCACTTATAATGAGTTTAAGTAAACTGAAAAGAAATTCAGAGCAGATTCACATCCACATATTTTGAAAATTAGGAATTTTGCCTACCTTTATCTGGGTGATTCAAAATCATAATTCTCCTATGAGCTGTTCTAATCTTGGCCTTGCCAGCAGATGGGCTGTAAAAAGAAATTAAAGTGCTTATAATAAATAGTGTCAAATGCAGATTATAAATTAACAGTTTATATGGGTTTTAAGGAATTAAAAACTAATGAGAATTTCACCATCTTGTGGATAAATATGAAATTACAGCTTGTCACTTAATTTTACTAACTATCAAAATAAACCATTGATTCAATGTCACATGCATTTTTCTTCCTTTGTAATGCCAATCTCTATTCTTAATCACTTTAAAAAATAAAACACAATATATAGGGTAGGACAGTCACAGTCTATAGATTATACTCAGTTTGAAAACTTATGCTTCAAGTTATTTGAGGAGAAGGTATTGTATATAGTGTGTAATAGACACATATTCAGACTCCAGAGCTCCTAGACTACCAGATTTTAATCCCATTCCTATTTAGGATAGGGGTAACCTTGGTGAAATTTTTTAACCTCCCCGTACTTCAGTTTTCTCATTGTAAAACAGGACTCAGAAAGACATATTCCTCACAGAGCAACTGTAAGGACTGAATCAGTTAAAGCCAACAAAGTGCTAGATCAAGTGTTCCAAACTAGTTAGCTTTTATTATTATTACATTTCAACAGAGCATCTCAAAACTCTTCATAACTCATAATTTTTTAATATAATTTATTATTAAATTGGTTTCCATACAACACCCAGTGCTCATCCCAAGAAGTGCCCTCTTCCATGCCCATCACCCACTTTCCCCTCTCCCCTACCCGCCATCAACCCTCAGTTTGTTCTCAGTCCTTAAGAGTCTCTAATGGTTTGCCCCCCTCCGTCTCTGTAACTTTTTTTCCCCTCTTCTCCTCCCCCATGGTCTTCTGTTAGATTTCATAGCTCATAATTTATTTAGCTTGGGAGAAACCTATGGGAAAAGCCTAACTGTTAGAGCCTATGCTGTAAACAAAAATTAAAGGAGAAAGTTAAATAAACCTAAAATTATTTCAGTAAAAACTAATCTATCCAGTATTGGAAATGTTTCTCACTAGCACATTCTCCAGGCAAGGAAACAAAATTAACACTAACAACAACAAAATTCTGGTATTGCTTATTAATAGCTATATTATCTTATCTAAGCTACTTAGTATTTATGGGTCTCAAATGGGGATAATAGCAACTGACTTAAAGTATAGCATGGCTGTTGCAAAACTCAAAGTAATTTAATTCATATGAATGAACCACACTGCAATAGCTAAAAAGCAGGTACTTTTAGAGAGATATTCAGACATAGGTTTAACATCCAGATTCCACCACTCATTAGCTACAAAACTCTGTCTTGCTCACTTAAACTCTCCTAAGTAAAATGGACACAATAAACCACCTCCCAGGATTATTCTAAGGATAAATTAGCTAATGCAAGTAAAAGGATTAGCATAACATCATATACAGTGTTCAAAGTGTTCAAAAATAAATAGTTTTTAGTAATTATTATGAAGACAAAGGATGCTTATGAAAGTACATTACATATTTCCTTTCAAAAGTGGGGTATAAATAACCTAATTTGACGTCTCTTGAAGGACTCAAAAGTATTATCATGAGTATAAATTAAGTGCAAAGAAATTCTTAAGGTCTGCAGAGATTTGCTTACCCTTGTTTTAAAGAGTTCTAGAATGCTTTCCATTTAAGTTTTTCTATTTACTTTTAGAACTGCCTCCCTTGCTATCAGCTGTCAAGCTGCCATTGTTCCAGTCTCTAGCTATTCCTTGACCATTACTTACTACTTCTAATCTTCTGAGGTTAAATACCAGATCACCAAACATGTTAAAGCAATAAGCATATAAAACATTCTTCTATGAATAAAAAATGTCTTGAGTCAAAGACGAAATCAGAAGAGAAAAAATATTTTGAGACAAAAGAAAATGGAAACATAATATAACAAATTTATAGGATGCAGCAAAAGCAGTTTTAAGAGGAAAGTTTATAGTAATAAATGCCTATATTAAGAAAAAGGAAAGAGCTCAAATAAATAACCTCCTTTATCCCCCAGGGAACTAGAAAAAAAAGGAAAAACTAAGACCAAACTTAGCTGAAGGAAGGAAATAACAAGGATTAGAGTAAAAATAAATGAAATAGTGACTAAAAAGATGACAAAAGATCAATGAAACTAAGTTATTTTTTTTAAAGATAATCAAAAGAGACAAACCATTAGCTATACTCACCAAGAAAAAAGAAGACAGTACTCAAATAAAATCAGAAATGAAAGAGAAGACATTAAAAGTGATACCACAGAAATACAAAGGGTCACTAGAGACTATGTTAACAATTATACATCCACAAAATGGAAATGTAGAAGAAACAGATAAATCCCAGAAACGTACAACCTACCAAGATTGAATCAGGATGAAACAGAAAAGCTGAGCAGACCAATTATTAATAATGAGATTAAATCATTAATCAAAAACCTCCCAACAAAGAAAAGCTCAGGACCTATGGCTTAAATGAAATCTAGCAAACATTTAAAGAATACCAATTCCCCTCAAACTTTTCAAAAAACAAGAAGAAACATTTCCAAATTCATTTTATGAGACCAGTATTATCCTGACACCACAAGCGGACAAGGACACTATAGCAAAGAAAATTATAGGTCAATATCCCTGATGAACATAGATGCAAAAGTCCTCAACACAATATTAGTAAAAGGATCATACATCATGAACAAGTAGGATTACTCCAGGGACGAAAGGATGGTTCAACATCCACCTATCGATGTGAAACACCATAAATGCGAAACAAAATACAGGATAAAAATCATATGATCTCCCCAAAGACACAGAAAAACCATTTGACAAAATTCAGCACCCACTCATGATAAAAACTCTCAACAAAATGGGTATAGAGGAAACATATTTCAACATGATAAAGGCCATATGACAAATGCATAGCAAATATCGCACTCAATGGTGAAAAGCTCAAAGTTTTTCCCCTAAGATCAGATACAACACAAGGTTGCCTGCTCTCACCACTTTTATCCAACACAGTACTAGAATTCATAGAGCAATTAGGCAAGATGAAGAAATGAAAGGCATCCAAATTGGAAACAAAGAAGTAAAACTGCAGATTACATGATATTATATAAAGAAAACCCTGAAACTTAGAACTGATCAACAACTTCAGTAAAGTTGGAAGATATAAAATCAATATACAAAAATCTGTTACCTTTCTATATACTAATAACAAATAATCAGAAAGAGAAATTAAGAAAACAACCCCACTGGTGCCTGGATGACTCAATCAGTTAAGTATCTGACTCTTGATTTGGACTCGGGTCACGATCTCAGAGTCGTGAGATTAAGCCCCGTATCAGGCTCTGTGCTGGATGTGGAGCCTGCTTAAGATTCTCTCTCTTCCTCTCCCTTTACCCCTACCCCTGCTCACATGTACACACACACACTCTCTCTCTCCAAAAAAAGAAAAAAAGAAAATGATGCCTTTCACAATTACATCAAGAAGAATAAAATACCTAGTAATAAACTTAATCAATGAAGTTAAGACCTGTACAATGAAAACTGTAAAATTCTGATGAAAGAAATTGAAAACACTAATAAATAGAAAGATATTCCATGCTCATAAGTTGGAAGAAATTTGTTAACATGTCCATACTATTCAAAGCAATCTACAGATTCAATGAAAGACCTATCAAAATTCCAAAGGCATCTTTCACAAAAATAGAACAAACAATCTTAAAATTTGTATGGAACCACAAAAGACTCCAAACAGCCAAAGATGTTGGTAAATGACAAAGCTGGAGGCATCACACCTCCTGCATTTAAAGTATATTACAAAGCTATAAAAATCAAAACAGTATAATATTAACTTAGAAAGAAACACACAGATCAATGAAACAGTTCTGAGAGAACGCAGAAATAAACCCATGTATATATGGTCAATTAGTTTATGACAAAGGAGCCAAAAATGTAAAACAAGTAAAAGATAGTCTTGTCAATATGGCGTTGGGAAATTTGGACAGCTGACATGCAAAGGAATAAAACTGGACCCTTATCTTATACCATACACAAAATCAACTCAAAATAGATTAAAGCCTTGAACTAAAGACCTGAAACCATAAAACTCCTAGAATAAAACACAGGGGGTAAACTCCTTGACATCGTTCTTGGTAGTAATTTTTAAAATCTGAAATCAAAAGCTAGGCAACAAAATTAAAACAATGGGACTCCATCAAAGTTTAAGAAGTTTCTACACAGAAAGGAAAACCATCAACAAAGTGAAAAAACAACCTATGGAATAAGACAAAATATTTGCAAATCATGTATCTGATAAGAGGTTATATCCAAAATATATAAAGAACTCATACAATTCAATAGCAAAGATAGATAGACGGACAGACAGACAGATGATAGATAGATCTCATTTTAAAATGAGTGGAGGATCTCCCTAGACATTTTTCCAAAAACATAAAATGGCAAACAGGTACACGCGAAGGTGATCAGCATCACTGGTCATCAGGGAAAATGCAAATCAAAACAACAATGAAATATCACATCACACCTTCTAGAATGACTACCATCAAAAAGACAAGAGACAAACAAGTGTTAGAAAGATGTGAAGGGAACCCCTGTACACTGTTGGTGGAAATGTAGACTGGTACAGCTACTATGGAACAGTATGGAGGTTCTGAAAAAATTAAAAATAAAACTACCATATGATCCAGCAATTCTACTTCTAGGTATATATCTGAAGGAAATAAAATCACTCTCAGGACGCCTGGGTGGTTCAGTCGGTTCACTGTCCAACTCTTGGTTTTGGCTCGGGTCACGATGTCTTGCTTTTGTGAGTTTGAGCCCTTCATTGGGCTCTGTGCTGACAGTGTGGAGCCTGCTCGGGATTCTCTCTCTCCCTCTCTCTGCCCCTCCTCCACTCATGCTGTCTCTGTCTCTCTCAAAAATAAATGAATAGGGGCGCCTGGGTGGCGCAGTCGTTTAAGCGTCCGACTTCAGCCAGGTCACGATCTCACGGTCCGTGAGTTCAAGCCCCGCGTCGGGCTCTGGGCTGATGGCTCGGAGCCTGGAGCCTGTTTCCGATTCTGTGCCTCCCTCTCTCTCTGCCCCTCCCCCGTTCATGCTCTGTCTCTCTGTCCCAAAAATAAATAAACGTTCAAAACAAATAAAAAAATAAAAAATAAATGAATAAACTTAAAAAAAAGTATCAGTCTCTCAAAGAAATATCAGTACCCCCATGTTCACTGTAGCAAGACATGGAAACAACCTGTGTCCATGGGCAGATGAATGAATGAAAAATGTCACACACACACACACACACACACACACACACACACGACAGAATATTTTTCAGTCATTAAAAAGAAGAAAGTCTTGCTACTTGGTGACAACATGAATTGACCCTGACAGCATTATGCTAAGTAAAAAATCAGTCAAAGACAGAAAGACAAATACTGCATGATCTCATTTATATGTGGAATCTAAAAAAGCCAAACTCCCAAAAACAGAACAGACTGGTGGTTGCCAGAGGCAAGAGGAGAAGGGTGGGGGAAATGAGTGAAGGTAGTCAAAAGGTACAACTTACAGTTATAAGATAAGTGAGTCCTGGGGATGGAATATACAGCATGGTGACTACAGTCAACAATGCTGTAGTTTATATTTGAGAGGTGCTAGAACAGTAGATCTTAAAAGTTCTCATCACAAGAAAAAATACATCTGTAACTATGTGAGGTGAAGGATGTTAACTAAAGTTGTTATGGTAGCCATTTTGCAATCTGTACATATTATACATGTGTCAAATCATTATGTTATACATCTTAAACTAATATACAATGTTATATGTCAATTATATCTCAATGAAACAAGAGGGAAATTTTTTAAATTAAAAAAACCTTTTTAATAATAAAAAAGTCTTTTAGTATAAGGACTTTAGGGTATTCCTTTTGGCTTATGAAAGTCCTTTGGGGGACCATTTCAAACTTACTTTTTGGTTTGTACATACTTCCCGGATAATCAAGACAGTGTCTGATTCTAAAGACTACTAAGTTTTGAAAAATAAGTCATTAAAATTACATCATGGCTGTGAATACTTTATTAATTGCCTATTAAGAAATGGAACACACATTATTTTTTTTAATTCCAGTATGGTTAGTTTCCTGCCGCAAACTTACATTTCCCATTCTCTTGTGTGGTGCTCTACAGCCCTTCTTTCCTTTATTAGTTATACTTTCTAGTTGTTCTGCATGTATTTGACATGTCTTCTTAAGGTAGATACTAAAGAGCAGAAGCTATGATTTGTATCTTAAAATAGCATCCAGTATTGAATATGCAGTATGTGCTTGATGCATTTTATATAGTCCTCCAAAACAAAATGGCTCTAAAAGGTAAACTCCTTCAAATAATGGCTCTATATTAGTAAACACTGACACTATAAAGGATTACTGTATTGCAGAAAATCTTAAAATGGAAAAAGAGGCGCTTTAAAAAACATTTCATGAAACAAATCAAATGTGAACCACTAGATAATGAAGATGTAAGTTGGGTAAAATCCAAATGGACATTCTATGTTCTTTGGAGAGAGTATAAATGGTAAGTTGCATCTTACCCTGGATATTAAACTTTAATTTAGCATGTAGGACAAAATCTGAAAATTATCCTTGATAATTATATCTCATAGATTATCGTTCATAATCACTTACATTGCCTTTAACACTTGGTTTTGTACATAAAAGTCCATAAAGCATTATGTACAATGTAGTCTGCCAACCACTGAAATATACTGAAGGAAGTAAGAAATGCAAGGAAAGTTTCTATGTACAAGTACGGCCATTCAAAACATTATGCCTTTAAGATAATAATGATCAGAGTCCTAGTGGTGAGCTCTGGGGATAAGGGAAACATTCTTGTGTGCCTGCAGAATTTATTCCCTTTTCCTGACTGCTATATTAAGGCTCTAGGAATTTAATACACTTTAGTACCTTTGTTATTCTAAAGATTAAACGGGATGGGAGAATCCTAGTTCTTAAACAGTACAAAAATTAAATAAAGCTCGGATATATCTCCAGTATGGACAATTTCACCGTGAAATTGAAATATAACTTTAAATATCACGTTGCCTACATCAAGGAATACAAACTGTTCCCAGGAATGCGTGTGACTGGGAGTTGGGAAGTGGGGTTCATGGGACTGAGTGGTGTTCTCTAATCTCGTGACAAATGGAGCAGTTTTGGTTTCATCACTTTTACTATTGGTCTTTTGAATAACATTTAGCTTAACATAATTCCACAGGAGTGTTCAGAAAGTATGAAAATCTCAAATGTGAATCATTTCAGAAAGTAACAAGTATGAACAATAGTTTTCCTGGGCCACTCGGTAAAATACTTTAGGCTTCGAGAAATCAATAAGAATGCATAGACTCATCTAATAGCATATAGAGTATTTTTTTAATAGGTCATCAACAGTCAGCTCCACTGGGCCTTTGCCTACTTGTTACATAGTCTAAGTAGTTTAGATTCAATGATCACAGAGAAGGGAGCCACAGCAACGTATTTACATCTTGAAGAGTCTTGTCAAAAACAACACTACCAGACTGAAAGAAAAGGCTAGAGGAAAGCAAATAAGGGTTACCTTTCTGTTTAATATGTAAAGGGCAAATATTTAGCTTCTGCATTTGTGATACAAACGGGAAGAAAGAGGAGCCAACATTTATTTAGCATCTGTTATTTGGTAGGCACTATTATAAAAAGGTATCGTCATATCATTTTATATTATTTCAACAAGCCTAAATATTACTAACTCCGTTCAAAAATGAAGAAACTAAAGGGCAGAAAAGCTAAAAATAACTTGACTGGGATCCTATAATGCAGTGCTTCAGTGACAGAAGCAGGATAAGAATCTGTTTGGCTCAGCTGGTATTTGTTGTTATTTGTTAATACCTAAGACATTTATTTGTTATTCTAAAGATTAAACAGGATGGGAGAATCCTAGTTCTTAAACACAGTACAAAAATTAAATAAAGCTCGGATGTATCTCCAGTACAGACAATTTCACCATGAAATTGAAATATAACTTTAAATATCATGTTGCCTACATCAAGAAATACAAACTGTTCCCTGGAATGCATGTGACTGGGACTTGGGAAGTGGGGTTCACGGGACTGAGTGGCGTTCTCTAATCTTGTGGCACTAAGTGCTGTGTTTACGTGCAAAATTATCTATGTATCGGTCTCCACAACAACCCTACCAGACAGAAACTATTATTATCTCTATTTTACAAATGAGGACACTGAGGTCATGCAGCTAGTAAATGGTAAAACTGGTATTCATAGATTCACCTGTTAAGAGCATATACTTTTCAGTTTACATTGTGAGAGAGAGCACATGTGCATGCAAGTGAGCAGGGGAGGAGCAGAGAGAGAGAGGGAGGGAGAGAATCCCAAGCAGGTTCCACACTGTCAGCGCAGAGCCAGATCCGGGACTCACTCTCATAAACTGTCAGATCATGGCCTGAGCTGAAATCAGGAGTCTGACACTTAACCAAATGAGCCACCCAGACTCCCTGAGAGTATATACGCTTAACCAGCAAATTATCTTTGTGAAATTTTCTACAGTTTCTAGCTTAACAAGATAAACCTTTAAAAACAGAAATCTTAAGTCAACTCCTAATTACCTGTTGTAACAACAGGAATGCTTTGGATGATATCGACTGATATTCTCAAAAACCTTTGTGTTTGGTTTTATAGTAAGTTCCATATTCACATTTCAAGACTATGAATGGGATGCTATGGGGGCCCAATAATAGTTCCAGAAAAATAACAAGGCCATCCTGATTAATATTAAAGCAAAGAATGGTCAGAAATAGAGCCAACTTCCTATTTTGGTTCCCTCCCCTACCTAAAACCTATTCTCAGTGAGAAACTTCATCTCTTTTTTTTTTTTTTTTTAATTTTTTTTTTAACATTTATTTATTTTTGAGACAGAGAGAGACAGAGCATGAACGGGGGGAGGGCCAGAGAGAGAGGGAGACACAGAATCTGAAGCAGGCTCCAGGCTCTGAGCTGTCAGCACAGAGCCTGATGCGGGGCTCGAACTCATGGACCGTGAGATCGTGACCTGAGCGAAGTCGGACGCTCAACCGACTGAGCCACCCAGGCGCCCCAAGAAACTTCATCTCTTATATTTAAATAAAGCACCAAGCTCAACCGAACCATTTCCTTTGCTCCCTACCCCTTATCTTTTCTTGCTAAGTCAAAAGAAATAATAACATGTTTTGGCCTTAAAAATGTGCAAATCTACAAGAGATCCAAAAAACTGTATCAATACAGGACTTTATGACCTATTCTGCTTAATGATGGTGATTAAATCACCAGAAGATCTGCTGCAGATGACATACTGTAACCAACCCCCACAAAAATTTGAGTGGGCTCTAAGGGAACATAAGGTAAACAAATGAATATAGCGACTAGCAACTAAATGGCAGGGGGCATATTCTTAACTTTAAGTGTTAAATGTTATCACAGAGCAATCACACAACATCATTAGCTTTCTCCTATGTGGTCCAAAGTCACACAATAGATACTAGGGTGAAACAATTATAATAAAATATGCTAGATGTCAAATTGTGAAAATAGAAAAGAACTGTGAAATAGATCCTATATTATAACAGAAAATATGATAGATAATAAATTATAAAACTGAGTTCAGAAAGAATGGGGTATCACAGTTAAGGGAGATTTTGACAATTGCTTTGAAATTTTAGTACTGTATTCAAACATAAGAGCTCAGAGCCCCTTGTTAAGGAATAAGGACACATCACATCTTTGCCTGGTATTTTTAGGGATTTGGGCTTTTAAAATGTAAAAATTTTGTATTTTTTCCTCTGCTTCCTATTCATAATTTAAAATATAAGGAAAACTTTACTGTAACATTTTCTCCCTTTTTCAAGACAAGCTTGGCCACAGAATAAAATAAGACTTATGTAGCTCACCTACCTTATACCCAAAATAAGACTAGCTTCTCGCCTACTCATTTTCTGTTCAAATCCTCCTTTATAGTAGGATGAAAGGCTCTGTACAGGAAAGAAGGAGCATGAAATAATTAGTTGCATGTATGAGGTGGCAGGACCTCAAACCTATCATAGCTGCAATAAGAGTAATGCATTTTATTACAAGGCAACATGAAACTGTAGGGGGTGGGGGGGGAGGGCACTAAACAAGGATCCTTTACAAGAAACTATGACCAAGACGAACTTAAAAAACATTAACAATTTTTTCACATTCAAATACATTAATTTTTCTACACTAAGATATAACAGAATCAAAGAAATCAACAGAAGCAAAGGCTCGAAGTCTGCCTAAGCTCTGCAATAATATTCTCATTGGGTAACCTTAACAAGTCATTTAATATTGATATGACACACGTCTTTTTTACCCACTGGACTGGCTGATAGAGAAGGAAGAGGAAGAGGAGGAACTGACAAAGTGGGGAGGACGTCAGAATAGCAGACAGCAAGGCCAAGAGAGAGAGCACAAAACTGGACTGAAAGGTCACTGAAAGGTGGCTGGAAATGCATGAGCAAGGAAGACCGTAGTATCAGAGAGGCAACTAGGGGCCAGATTGTGGGGGGCCCTGTAAGTAGCAGCAATCTTTAGGATTCTATTCTCAATGGTAGGAGAAACCAGGGGACTGGAGTCATGTCATTTGGCTTTCGTTTGAAAGGATTACTCTAAATACCATGTGAAGAATAGGAAGAAAGGTGCAGGAGAGAATCAGGAGACCAGTTAAGAGGAGATAACAATAACCTAGGCAAGAGATGATGGTGGTATGGGCCAACGTGGTAATAGAGGAGGTAGTTTGAAACTGGTCACATTCTAGATGTATTCTGAAAGGAAAACTAATAATTTGCTTGGCAGATTACATAAGGGATATGAAAAAGGGATTAAAGATGATGCAGTAAACACTGCTATACACGTGCAGCTCCCCCTTCAGACGTGAAGGACTTACTTCGTGGACGTTGGGGCTGTTGCTGGCAGACAGCACTCAGCTGTCAGACTCGTTAGAGGAGTTGCCTTGGCTAAAGAAAGTCAAGCTCAGGCCCCCTTCCCAGGGCAGTTTTCTATTTAATGACTGGTTGATATGGGGGTATAAACATTGTGGTTCATTGAGTTCAGTCCTTAAACTGCCTATCTATATTCACTTATCAAGTGACATCATTCAGTCTTGTGGCTCCTTGCCCCAACCTGGGACAACCACAATGAGCTACCCGTGCTTCAGAGCTCACTATGGGGTTGGCTGAGGCCTACTGCAGCCTAAATTGTCCTTCTGTCCTTCCTTCTCTTCCCTTCTGGAGCTGCTGATCCTAAAAGCACTCCCTGATGAACTACCAGCTTGCTAATTTCTGTCTGTCTGCTTTGTCTCAGTTCCAAGGAACTTAAACTGCAAATGACTTTAAGGTTTCTGGCCTAAATTGCCAAACTGCCACTAAATGACTTAGAGAGGGAGCAGTTGTTTATTGAGGGTAATAGGTATCAGGAGACTGGTTTTGGATACATTGAGTTTGAAATGTCTGTTAAATATCTAAATGGAAAAGTCTGACCTGGAGATAACATTTAGGAGTCACGAGTATATATAGACAGTATGTAAAGCCATGAGACTGAATGAGATCACCTAAGGAGTAAGAGTAGGTAAGAAGTCCAAACAGTGAGCCCTAGAGATTGCAGGTTTTAGGGGCACACAAATGGAGAGGAATCCGTAAGCAGACTGAGTAAGACCAGCAGTAAGGCTGAAGGAAAAGCAGCCCAAAGTAAGGAAGGGAAAAAGTTTCAAACAGTTCTGTAGGTCAAATCAGATGTGAGCTGAGAACTGACTGCTATATTTATCAAAGAGGTCAAAGTCTTTGACAAGAGTTGCAGGGAGTAGGAGTGAGAGTCTGATGAGACTGGGTTTGAGAGAGAACAGGAGAGAAGGAATGGGAGACAGCTCTCTAGGAGCTCGTAAGAAAGCAACAGGATGCACGAACTCAACTTTAGAAGGAAAAAAAAAATGCATCGATGACTGTACTGTATACATGTTTCTAAAACATGAAACTCTATTTTTGTAAGGAGGGATAAATAAGTGTATGTTTACATAAAACAAACTCTGAAAGTATATATACACTAAAATGTTACTTCTAGTTGGTGACGTTATGAATAATTTTTTTTCTTCTTTATTTCCTAAGTTTTCAACAATGAACACAGACTATTCGTATAATTTTTTTAAAAAGGAGGACTAAATAAAAGACCAACAAACTTAAAAATCAGTCCCAGGGAGCCAGATCTGGTCATTTATATAAGCTGCTCTCTTTGAACAGCTTGATATAAATTTCCACCTGGGAATAATTCCCTGGCAATTAATTCATTTCACAAACACTTCAGCACCTATTACATGCCAGCAACATTTCAAAAGAGACAGGTCAAGTTCCATCCTTATCACATAGATGCTAATGTATCAATGCACCAGTGCCGTGAGGGATATGACGTACTATTTCAAGTTTCAAGTAATTTACGATCTAGAAAGAAAACTAAAAATACCCATCTCTAAGTTGTAAGGGGAGCAAAAGAATCAAATTATGGAAGTACACATAGTAACCTGGACAAATTATACACACACATGCACGTGGAGATTATATAAAGAACGAGGGGACTTCACAGAGGAATAACAGCTAGTTTTAAGTTTTCTCTCAACAGATCAAAATTTTTACTAGATACGTACCTTACTCCCTGACATTTCTGTAAGTATTTATTTACCTTAGGGAACTCCAAAATCTCAGCATAATAAACATGATAAACTGATGTTTCATGAAGTGTCACCCCATGAGTCAGAAACTCATTAGCCCTAACAGCAGGTATTGTATCAGAGCAATTGATTTACTTTCTGGTTTGCCCAGGTAGAAAAGGAGACACAGAAAAAACTACTTAAATTTTTTAAAAATTCTTTGTAATGTTTATTTATTTTTGAGAGAAACAGAGACACAGCAGAGTGAGTCAGGGAGGGGCAGAGAGAGACAGAATTCGGATTCCACAGAATCCGAAGCAGGCTCCAGGCTCTGAGCTGTCAGCACAGAGCCTGACACAGAGCTCGAACCCACGGACCGTGAGATCAGGACCTCAGCTGATGTTGGATGCTTAACCAACTGAGCCACCCCGGTGCCCTAGAAAAAGCTACTTAAAATATAGCATCTAGATGAGACTCTTACCCTAAAACACTGGCCTTCTTATGAATAAGTTAATCTCTGCATATCTATAAGGAACAGTTTAACTATACAAAAACTCCATCAAATAGAGTAAATGGTTATATTTTTCTAACAGAATTTCCAAGAATAGAAACAGGATGCCACGACTTTTATGCTGCCATTTGAAATATACCCTGCACCTTACAAATTATTATTTTGTGTTATTCTATCCATAAATTATATACATAAACAACATACCTCAAAATCATTTTCGTTCTGAAATTAGCATTAAATGCCATGGTGTCACATCTTATCAAAGGAGATATGAAATGAACCAAGTTCAACAAAACTTCGTTAATTGGCTCAGCCAAGAGCTTAAAATACAAAAGCCCTCCACACAACCAAAGAAGAACTATATCATTCCATAATCTTAAGAAAAAATAAATTTACCATAAACTATAATCTCCTATTATTTACAATAATCTATTTCATTTATAGAGCCACAGAGGTACGATTTTAATTTGTGTTGTTTCCATGAAATTCACTTAACCATAAAACAAAAGAAGTCCAATTTTTAAAAACTGTATTCAAATAAGGGGACATTTTCACAAATAGAAAAATAAAAGCCTCGGGGCGCCTGGGTGGCTAAGTCGGTTAGATGTCCAACTTGGGCTCAAGTCATGATCGCACAGTCCGTGAGTTCGAGCCCCGCATCAGGCTCTGTGCTGACAGCTCGGAGCCTGGAGCCTGCTTTGGATTCTGTGTCTCCCTCTCTCTCTGCCCCTCCCCTGCTCATGCTCTGTCTCTTTCTGTCTCAAAAATAAATAAAAACATTTTAAAAAATTAAAAAGAAAAAGAAAAGCCTCAGAAGAAGATGAGTGACTTGGGTTTCTTCCCCAGGAAAAAAATTAGGGGTAAACACTGACTGAGTTTATAACAGATACTAACATAAGAAAGGTCAAGCAAAAAAACTACTGGTTCAAAACAGAAGATTGAATAAAAAAAGGTCTTTTGCTTCCTAAAGTGCCTCTGAAATAAGAAGAGAGAGAAAACAAGAAATGAGACAAAGAGAAAACCAGAAAGCTGAAAACAGGTAAGATTACAATTAAAGACACAAAAACATCACTGCAGCTTCAAACACCAGAGGAAAGTGGAAAAGCCTTCCCAGGAAATAAAGAAAACACTAACTTTAGAGTCAACAAATATAATAATGACATCAGGATAATTAATTAAACCAGAACAGCAGAGATGACCATTTCTAACTCCATTAACACAGAGCATAAGGGGCCCACCACCTGCCATTTTTGCCCTCTGGCTAAGAAAAACAACTACTAGCCTGAGATATATCTCAGTGTGGGTGGTAGGTCCCAACAGAAGCAAAGGAGAGTACTAGCAGATCACACTACAGAACCCAGGAGGCCAGTGAGGGGGACAGTTATGCCAAGGAATGAAATATACTCAGTGCTTAATCTTTCCTCAACCTCTCTCTGGAGGTCTCAAGCCTGCCTCTGGGTTCCTTGCTTTGGAAAACATGCCTGTTGACATAAACCATCTTTGTATGCACAGCCCACTAGCAACACTCTTGTTCAATTACAGTGAATGTACAGGGGCGACCTGGGTGGCTCAGTCCATTAAAGTGTACAACTTTGGCTCAGGTCATGATCTCATGGTCTGTGAGTCCGAGCCCCACGTCAGGCTCTGTGCTGACAGCTCAGAGCCTGGAGCCTGCTTCAGATTCTATGTCTCCCTCTCTCTCTGCCCCTCCCCTGCTTGTGCTCTGTCTCTCAAAAATAAATAAACATTAAAAAAATTTTTTTTAATAAAGTGAGTTTACCAAACTGTTATACTATTATAACATTTATATTATTCAACTCAGTCCTCACAAACATACACCAATAACCAAGGATTGTCAGACATTTGAACAAATCCAATACCACGGGGGGCAATAAAACAGAAGAAAGATGAACAAGTAACAACTGGCTTTTGGAGGAAGGAGGTAAATCAGAAAGCAGAAGAGGACTTGACAACTTTCAAATTAGTATCTTATATCCATAAAAGAGTAAATTGCTTTGAAAAGAGATATTAAATATTACTGAAGTAAAACATTTAGTGATGGATTAAATAACAGACTGGCCATTGCTAAAACCCAATCTGGTGATCTGGAAGATAAGCTATGGAAATACTGTGGAATGTAAAACAAAAAGATAAGAAGATGAAAAATAAGAAAGAAACTGTTCAGTGACATAAAGGATAGACTCAGAGGTCCAATGTGTCTCTAGTAAGAGTTCCAGCAACAGAAAAGAGAGAAAATGTAAAAGAAAAAATAATTAAAGAAAAAGTATAGAAGAATCTTCTAGAATAAAAGATAGGGAGTTTTCACTTAAATTTCACTGAGAATACCTGTGAAATTTCAGAACATCAGTAATAAAGAAAAAAAAAAAAAACCCCAAAACTTCCAGAGTTAAAAAACAAATAAAAATTACCAAAAAACTAAAAACCTAAAACACAAACAAAAGAAAACCGAAACAGGCTGCTTACAAAGGAGTAAGAATAAGAACACAAGAAATTCCAGCTGAGAGTCTCAGTTACCAGAAAATGTGGCTGAGAGTATACAGGAAAGCATGTATGTGGGCACTGAGGTTCAGTCTGAGCAGAGATTTTTTTTTTAAGTAATCTACACTCAATATGGGGCTCAGACTCATGAGCCTAGAGTTGCAGGCTCCACTGACTGAGCCAGCCAGGTGGCCCCTGAGCAGAAACTTCTGTTCTTCCCTCATACTGGCTCACCAGATTTCCAAGGAGCCAGCAGCTGATGACTAACAATGAGAGAAAAGAAACAAACCGTTTAGTAGAGAAGAACTTAAAACATTTACCATCCATGCATTCCATATGAAAAAATTACTCCAGGTAGTATTCAAGAAAAATGGAGGGAAAAAAAGGTATGAAAATACAAAGATGAGATTTAAGGACAAAATGATGTTAAATAAAGTACAGAGAAAACAAACTTCAAGAAGAAATTTAAAAAGAACCCATAGAGGGGCGCCTGGGTGGCTCAGTTGGTTAAGCATCTGACTTTGGTTCAGGTGTTCCTGTGTTTGAGCCTCACGGGGATGGGGGGGGGGGGGGGGGGGGTGGGGCGGCTCTGTGCTGACAGCTCAGAGCCTGGAGCCTGCTTCAGATTCTGTCTCTCTCTCTCTCTCTCTCACTGCCCTTCCCCCGCTCACACTCTGTCTCTGTCTCAACAATAAACATTAAAAAAATTTTTTTTTCATTTTTTTAAATTTACTTTTGAGACAGAGAGAGACAGAGCGTGAGCAGGGGAGGGGCAAAGAGAGAGGGAGACATAGAATCCTAAGCAGGCTCCAGGTTCTGAGCTGTCAGCACAGAGCCCGAAGCAGGGCTCTAACTCAAGGAGTGTGAGATCATGACCTGAGCTGAAGTCGGATGCTTAACCAACTGAGCCACCCAGGCTCCCTTAAAAAAAATTTTTTTTTAAAAACATAGAAACTTGAACCTTGAATGCTTTCCAGGTTCTCTTGAGTGACAGAGATTTAGTGGCACACAGTTACAAATTCCTATTTTTTTAACAACCCTATTTGGTTTAATAATGAATCATATTAATAACATCAAAACATTGTAAATGCTGTGTTTTATGAAGTTTGACTTTTTGGAATCATTAGTGCCAAGAGAAAGCATGCACATATTTAATTTCTCAGTTTCCCTAGAATTATTAATATTTAAAGAATTGTTTAAAACACCCTTATCTTCACAGAGGTATAATTATGATGACAGTGACGATGATAAAGATGTTCTAAAAAATATTTTCACTGCAAACTGCAACAGTAGTATTTTGTGGGGGAAAACAGGGCCAGATTTATCAAAAACTGTTTCTTAACTCAAGCCCACAAAGGAAAAGGAAAGAGGGACACATTATTTCTCTATTTAGTATACCCATGACAATCTCTCAAATTATTCTACCTTATCCGTGAGCCTCCACAGAGCAGTGAAAATTTTCTCATTTTCTTGCTCTCTCTTCCTTTACAATGTTAAATAATGCAGTTCTACAAAACTTGGGAGTCCTTTATTTATAGCATAAATATATCTACTGAATATCACCTTAACAGAAGAGAAATAATTTCTGAAATTCTCTCCATTCATTATTTATAAACATATGGAAAGACATAAGTAATATTGAATTAAGGAACTATGCCACTATTTTCATTCCTGTATTTCAAGCCACCATTTATCTATTACCTGAAGTATCTCAATACCCTCTTAACTGGATTGAGAGCTTTCACTCTGGCTTGTTCTTGTTGACCCTCCATGCAGCAAAGTGATCATCTAAAATGCAAATCACGGGCACCTGGGTGGCTCAGTTGGTTAAGCGTCTGACTTCGGCTCAGGTCATGATCTCATGGTTCATGAGTTTGAGCCCCGCATCGGGTTCTGTGCTGACAGCTCAGAGCCTGGATAGAGCCTGTTTTGGATTCTGTGTCTCCCTCTCTCTCCGCTCCTGCCCCGCTCACATTCTGTCTCTCAAAATTAAATAAACATTAAAAATAAAATAAAATGCAAATCACATTGCCCCCATGCTCAAAACCTTCCAAAAGGTTTCCATTATACTTGAAGTAAAATTCACAGTTTTGATCATAGTCTATGGGGCCTCAAATGATCTGGTCCCTATTCTACCACTATTCCCTTTGCATATTTCACTGGGGTTATTCTTGCTGCAAAGCTCATTTCCACTTCAGGACCTCTGCAGTGTTTCAGTCCCTAGATAGCTCTTTCTTCAGAGATTCACATCTGCTCTCTCATCTTCTCAGTGAGGCCTTCCCTGACCCATCTAGTATCAATTCCTCTCTGCTGTTATTCTTTCAACTCTTAGCCTGATTCAGTTTTCTTATAAGCAGTCAACACTTCTACATAGTATATACTTTACTTATTCATTCACTTGTTAATTGTCTGTGTCCACTAAAATATACACTCCTAAGGGCAGTATCTTTATATGGTCCTTGACTATACCCCACTCTCCACAGTAATGTCTGGCATGTAGAAGGCCCTTAATGAATAATTACTGAACGAATGCTAAATACCTATTAATACTGTAGCCAAATAAAATATAAATAGGAACACAGAAAAAAAACCACACATGCTCCCTCTAATCACAGACATACATTTATAGGTCTGCAAAATCACTCGCAGTTCTTTTGGACCTGAGTTTAATTATTTGTATGTCATCCTTTGAAAGTGTGGTCATTGTTCATGGCTAACTAAGCCTCACAAGCCTGTAATGCCTTTGCTAAAACAAGTCATTCATTCTCCAATTGCTGCAAGCCAAGTTGATCTATCCCATATCTGCTTCTATTTCCCAGAAGTCAACGATTATGCTGCAACACTTCAGTGAGTTTTCTTTGCATTGTGTCCAGTAGTTACAAACCAGTCCACTACGCAGTAGCTTTTAAGTATCTACTATCATTCATTCTTCACTTACATTTAGCTCAGCAGAGTAGCTACAATGCCTATAGATGAATATATAAACCCTATAGGATTTCAGCATTGGAATCTTACAATTTTATGTTTGAAATGATCAGGCGGTGGTACACGGGGATCAGTTTCAAATTTTATGATGAAATAAACTCTTGGGTAAGCTCCATCAGGGCAAGGAACTTGTCTGTTTTATTCATCAACTATATCCAGCTTCTACCACAAGAATTAATATAGACAATCACTAAAAGAATATTAATTAAACAAGGAAGATAAATTACCTCAAAGTTGGTGTAATACTACTAAGAGAGATATAATAATTAGATGTCAAAAGCAGGAATAAGATTAGAAATAAAAATAACGTGACTAAGAGACTGAAACAAATCAAGAAATAGACAAACACCCCAAGGGTATCATGAAGAAAGTAAACTACAAATGTTGAAAAATCTAAGACATTTTCTAAATTACTATCAAATATGGCATATAAACAAAAATCAAAACAAGCCTTCTAACTAAAGCCATCTTTTTTTTTTTTTTTTAATTTTTTTTTTCAACGTTTTTTATTTATTTTTGGGACAGAGAGAGGCAGAGCATGAACGGGGGAGGGGCAGAGAGAGAGGGAGACACAGAATCGGAAACAGGCTCCAGGCTCTGAGCCATCAGCCCAGAGCCCGACGCGGGGCTCGAACTCACGGACCGCGAGATCGTGACCCGGCTGAAGTCGGACGCTTAACCGACTGCGCCACCCAGGCGCCCCACTAAAGCCATCTTTAACTCACAGGAGTGGATATCTTCTTTGCCGTTTCTGTGATTACTTGTTCTAGAGGTTTCCAGATCTGAAATGCATAGCGACCTAAAAAAACAACAGGAATAAGAGCAAACATATTTTCCATAATATGGAAAGATAATACCCACAAGGTAGTAACTACAATATTTATCGATAGTTTCTTTTCTATGTATTATTTCAATAACTATTTCAAAATTTACCAGAAAGTTCTATTTTCCCAAATGTCTAATTTATTGAACAGAGGAAGCATTTCATTTTAACAGAATTAAAATAGTTATTAGATTGAGGGATGTCTGGGTGGCTCAGCTGGTTCAGCATCCAACTCCTGCAGGTCAGGTCATGATCCCAGGGTCGTGGGATGAGCTCTTGCATTGGGCTCTGTGCTGAGCATAAAACCTGCTTGGGATTCTCTCTTTCTCCCTCTGCCCCTCTCCCCGGCTCGCACATTCTGTCTCTCTCGAAAATAAAAAATAAAATAAAAATAAAAATAAAGTTATTATTTATCAAGTTCTAATTAATGATTATAAAATTAGAAAACATCAATGTTTATGTATAATATCTTCTATTTATACGATAGGATAGGTAACCAAAAAAAAAAAAAAAATCCTAGTACTCTAACACAAACTATAGATAAAGTCCTTTTATGTATGTGTAGATTCACACATCTGGTTATCTGTACTGATTTTCCCAGTGATAATCACTTTGAAATACTTTAGAGAACAAATACTATTTAGGATCTGTAAAACACAGGGACAATTTTAATGGATTTATCTACAAAGTAAAAAGCAACTATGTAAGAAATATTCACCAAAGATATTTACTGTCAATTTCTCACCAAATTTAACTATTCTCCTAAAAGCATAATTTATTTTGGTGCTTTCTTTTCTTAGGTATCCTAATAATTAAAACTCCTGAGTCATCAATAGCAAAACAGGTCCCAAACTATTTTGAGGGCATAGAACAAGAATAAAATATTACCTGATTAATTTACCTTTTGTACCCTCATCAGCATTATGTACCGATCAACAGTAGTGTCTCTCTTCCCAAAAGTCTTGCTAGAAAACCCACTATGATACTCTGGATTTTATTCAATTTCCAACCATAACCTTCTTTGCAAATCAATTTCCACTGAGAAAGCTCAATTACATACACCTCTTAGAAATTTCCTGTCTAGGGGCGCCTGGGTGGCTCAGTCGGTTAGGCGTCAGACTTTGGCCCAGGTCATGATCCCGCGCTTCATGGGTTCAAGCCCCACGTCGGGCCATGTGCTGACAGCTCAGAGCGTGGAGCCGGCTTCAGATTCTGTGTCTCCCTCTCTCTCTTCCCCTCTCCTGCTTGCATTCTGTCTCTCAAAAGTAAATAAATATTAAAAAAAGAAAACATTTAAAAAAAAAAAAAAAAGAAGTTACCTGTCTAAACACACTATTATTCCTGTGCAAACAACATGTGAAAAATAGGATGCTAGATATGGGTGATGGGAAATAGTCAATCCACATAGAAGAGAAAAAGTTCTTGACCTCAAGGAGGGCATTAAATAAAGGGAAATTAAATAAGTTAAATAAGTGACACTGAATTAAGTGAGAGCCTAACTCATCCAAACCTCTTGTCCTATAGATGTCAATTTCCATTTGATTCTACAATAGTACACAGTATAGCTTTTAAATTATCTCAAAATTTAAAATATAAAAGCACACATAATCAGGCAGGCTTGATGAAAAAAGTAGGTAAAGTCTTCAACAAGTGACATCTGAAGATTTACGTTAACCATAAACCAGAAGACCAAGTTCCAACAAGTCTAAGTGTACTTTCTCCTAAATTCTATTATTCAGTTGCATTTGGCTCTGGAAGAGAGCTGCCTGCTATTAACATTCTAGTTAGTAATAAGAACTTGGCAAAAGTGTGGTTACACAATTCACACACCAATTCTTCTCATTTTAGAAAGAAGACCCTAGCAAAAGTACAGCATCTGTCTTTAATTTCAAATAAAAACCTTCCATTTGAATTTCAAAATAACTATACCAATTCTGCTAAAATAGTTGATACTAAAATTCACGTTTCATGTTTCGGGCCAAGTTTGTCAGAATTCCTTTTTGGACGATAGTCTTCTCAGAAAACCTCAGTGTAGTCATCACGATGAGACACAAGACATTGATGGCACAAAGACCAAGAGAATCTGAACCACTGATCTTGATTTTTAAGTGTTTATGCTTAAGGTGCTTTAAGAGAGTTGCGTGAAATTAAGTATCATATAAAACAAAACAAAACAACAATCTTTTATGTCCCATTTTGCAATTGGATCTTACCAACTCCACATAACCACATGGAATGTAGCTTCACTTAAAGAGAAGATCCAACAAACAAAATCAAATCCACGAAACTTAAGAGACACAAATGCTAAAACAAAAAATGTAACAAGAGATGCTCTCAGATCAACACCTGATTAGCAAATAGCTATCCAATTTACAACTGGAAGAGATAACAATTTTGCTTTAAATTTTTATAACTATTCTTTGGTGATTTGGACAGTAAAAGAAATTCTCCCAGGTTTTCAGAAGAAATTACACCAATGTGTTTAAAAAAAATGAAGTAATTAATACATTACAGGGAATAACTATGCTCATCAAAAAAAGTGACTGCTCAGGAAATGTGACATCTTACTGCAAGAAAAAAACAAGAATAAACAAACAAAAAAACAAGGGAGAACAGAGGAACCCCATATCACTTACATTGCTTCATACTGAAGAATGTTATTAAAGTACATTATAGTTCAAGCTAAAAAAAAATACTATGAAGATCAACTATTATTGGGGCTAGTTTTCCTACCTTCTTATTGTTAATTTTCTTCACTACACAGTTATCTAGCTTTTGCTACACTGACAAATGTTCAGGGACTATAAATGGAGAAACAAATGAAAATGTATAATGTCTTAAAACCCAAACCTCAGAATACAGAGGGTATCCTCATGAATCACTATAGAAGCTATTTGGAAATATTTCTCCTGCAACATTTATTGAGAAGTATGCTTTACTTATCTTACCTGCAAAGGCAAGAGTTGCAACACCCAGTCCGACAGCTATCAAACTTCTTGCCTGTGAAGGAAAAAAAATGATTATCACTTATAGTCTTACACTGGCTTTTTTTTTCTTCAAGTAAACCATTTAAAATAATGAGAATAATTATGTTAAATACTACATTTTACTCAAGCTCTGCTGTGAAAAACAGAATTTTTTTTTAAATCTGCAGTGTCTATGGGATTCTACCTGCTGTGTACCATATTAGGTAATTTTCAGTAAACTTGGGGCACCTGGGTGGTTCAGTAGGTTAAGCATCCAACTTCGGCTCAGGTCATGATCTCATGGCTTGTGAGTCCAAGCCCCGCGTCAGGCTCTGTGCTGACAGCTAACAGCCTGTAGCCCACTTCAGATTCTCTGTCTCCCTCTCTGTCTGCCCCTCCCCTGCTCATGCTCTATATCTCTGTCCTTCTAAATAAATAAACATTAAAAAAAATTAATTTTCAGTAAACTAAAATTATTCTAGATTTCACTTAATTTCTGTATATATGAATTCATTCTACCCAAGAGCTTTTATGCTAAAATATTTTCTATAGGTTATTCTTAATAGTGGTTAAATATATTTATCTTCTACAAAGATAGAAGGAACATATTTCCTTTATATTTGCAATAGCATTTGCTATATTTTAAATTTTGATAAAACATTAGATCTATGTTTAGTAAAGAAGTCAAAGTGCCAAAAATTAGTAAGAATTATGAATAATTTAAAAGTTAGTTTATTTCTACCTTTACAGACCAATGTAAAGTTTTTTAAATAAGAGCCAAGAATTTAGAATCCATAAAGTTATGAGCTCATTCTGATCAAAATCTAATTTAAATTGGTTATATACTCCATATTATTCTATGCTTTTCTCCTTTACCATCTCAGAAAAATATTTAAATCAAAACAGATAAGGTTTACATAACAGAGCTCAATAGCTCCCCCACCCCAACATCCATTCCCTCTTTCTTCTCTAGGATTGGGAATTCCTATTTTTAGTCAGACATATTTCCAAGCCTCCCTTAGACTATGACTATGTTAACTAAATACTGGCTTATAAGATATAAGCAGGGTGGTATATGCAACTTCTGAGAAGTCCTTTGGGGAATGGAAGAAATGTCCTTCTCCTTTTCTAGTCCTCCTTCTTACTAGCTAGAAATGTAGATATTCTACCTAGAGCAGCCATGTTGGATAAAGAAGGAAAAACAATGAGATGAAAGGAGACTGTGCCCCAGATGATCAGGGAGACGCCATAGCACCCCAGGACTGCCTCTATTTACACAAGATAAAAATAAAATTCTATCTTTGTAAGCCACTATTATTTTTAGGCGCTTGCAGCCAAATCAAATTTTGATGGATACAGAATTCAGGAGAGACACGATAGAAATGTTTTTCTCTAATGGTGAGAGGTAAATCTGTAAGATCCAGGAAAGACTAAAAAACACATCTAGAAAAAAAATTTCCTCAGTAGGGAACAGAATGGATTCATTTCACACTGGTGCAGAAGTAGTAAGACAGAGGTTGAGCCTGGAGGGACGTTATGAAAGTGCTCTAACTTTAATATCCAGCATCTGTCTCTTAGAAATCTAGAGCTCTTCATAGACAAGATGAAGGAAGTTCATCTATGGTTCTCCTCCTCAGTTCTAATGCTAAGATATACTTTTTCACCAGGCAGTAACACTGGATACCCTAGTAAAGAAAGATTTCTTTCCCCCAGCAGAGCAGAGGAAGTCTAGAGCTAGCTACCCACAGAGGCAAAACAGTTTCCAAAGTTCCCGACAGGTTGTCTGTCCTGAACAGAAGGGAGGTATAGATTTAAAGAGTATAGATTTAAAGAGGATATTCTGTTGAGGTATATGTTTACCATTTTCTAAAGCTTCCCTGAGGCTGTATGGTTTGAAATTTCCAGTCTTATCTTCCACTGGTTCACTTTAATGAACCTCAGTCCTAACAAACTACTCAACTGTTTCATGTGTGAATTTATTCCTTCCTTATAACCTTGTTTAGTCTTTCATCTGTCTAGAAATATTTATATTTGCCTACCAGATATGTCCTGTTCTTAACACTTTAGTCTAAATCTGCCACAGAATTGGAGAAGTCATTTGTAACACATAATAGACAATGAGCATATATCCAAAGACATGTACAGAATTCCTCCATATTACTAGTAAGGGAGACAATCCAACAGAACCATGGGCAAAAGGTCAGGGACTTTATGGAAAAAAATCTAAATGGCTAATAAACATATGAAAAGGTACTCAACTAAAAGAATACCTAGGGGACGCTAACAACAAAATGCTGCAGAAATATTAATACCAGCACATAAAGACCTTTGGCCTTTGTGGAACTTCTGTCCGGTGAGGCATCTCAAGCGCGAAACAACAGTATCTATACTTCCTAGGGTTATTGTGAGGATAAAATGTAATTATGTATGTAAAGGACTTAACACAGTGGGTTGGCACATAATAAACAGTCAGTAAATGTGAACTGCTTTTAATATTATCAATAAAATAACTACTATTAATTGAATATAAGTGGTATAGCAGAAAAAAGAACAGTGTTCTGCAAACACTTAAATTTGTCTAAGGAAAGATTCATAGAAGTAATTTTTGAGGTAGGCCCTAGAAAATGAGTTGGTCTTCTCTAAATTAAATAATACAAATTCTCACATTTCAAAAAACCATATTTGAAAAATATAGTCTTAAAAAGTTGTGTTATTCTAATTTCACATTTTTATAGATTAATAATTGTGTCACTTTTACTATTTTAACTACTCAAAATACAAATTGTTGCCTCTACAATTCCAAAGAGATTTTCATTTGGAGGTATTTATATCAGAAACATTAAACCATTAGGCATCTGGTCATTTTCCCCTTTAATATGTAAATCTAAAATGTTTAACAATATTCAATTGAATTCAACAAATAAGTATTAAGCACTCTGCTGTCATTCTCCATTTGTCCTTCTAGATTCATTCTCCACCCTTCTCTGACTTGCTCTGTACTTCTGCATCCCCTTATCCACATTATCCAAGTCCTCACTCGCCCACTAGTTTCTGTCTGGGTTTTACCAAAGAGAGGAAGTTTCAAAAAGAACACCAGGCACAGGTGACGAATCCCAGGAGAGGACTCCAAACATTTCTGCCTGTTGCATCTTGGTATCAAAGTTGCCAAGGAAAACATTACACAGTCAAGCACTGAAAAATGCTTTACTTACGCGAAAGAAGACAAAGTTCAGCTCCAGCTGTATGCATCAGTCCGTTATGGCTAATGGGTTCCCCTCCCCCACCCCCAGTGCTAGCTAACTAAGGGAAATGGGCCTACAAACACCCACCCCTCTGGTGGTGCAACAGAAGAACTCACCCCTCTCCACCCCACACCATCCCTGGAGTCTGAAATACTGAAAGCTGAGAGCATATGTGAGAGCCATTGACTATGCTTCAGCAGAACAAATCCCACAAAGGTGGTAATCCCAGCACAGGGTATGTGAACTCCTCTCTCTTGGTAGGGAAGTATGCAGAGCCCAGCACCCACTTTTATGTGGCCAAGTGGGATTGATAACTGTGCACAAAAGACCGTCTTCTTAAACAGGAAGCATCAGCAGAAAAGTAAAAGGTGGAAAAAGATGGAAGTAATGGTACAATTTACTTCCTGTTATGTTTCCTTTTCAGCCACAGCTCCTGTTAAAGAGCTCCTCTTCCATGCCCACGACTCTCACTGGGTTCTGGAACATACATAATTCCCATTCTCTTGCCCCTTTCTCTGGGTGGATAACAGTCTCCAACCATTGCTAGCCTCTGGATGATTCATCACCCATTTCTGGTTACCTTAAACCATGCCTACCTCTGCAAATAATCTCTTCATTAAACTATCTTCAAAAAAAAACCATCCATTACTGCCAGGACCCTCACTGACACAAAAATTACTATACATCAGTCACTATATTATGCACAACAGACATAGCATGTGGCAAGGCAAGGGTCCATATCAAATGAGTCCTATGTAGGACCTGAAACGTGATGGGCCTCCAACGTTTAATCTCCCAAAGACCTTTATTTTTACCCTTATTACAACATTTACTACACTAGTTTATAGTTAGATGTGCTCTGTCTCCTTTAGCTTTTCTACATATAAAGAACCTTTTAAAAATCTGGTGAAATCTATGGGTCACCCCAGAAAACCACACATATGTACACACAGCAAATTTTTTATACATAATTTGAAGGGATCCAAAGGTTTCTCTGAAGCCCTTTAGTTCACAAGCCCAACATGAGAACCTCCATAAAAAAATATATAAATAAATAAGCTCGCTAAGGTCAAAAAGGGTGTATCATTTACCTTCATGGTCCTAGAGCACATGAGAAGACCTGCCACATATACTTCACTTTATATTCATTCAACAATACAAGAAAAGTATTAATAATACAATAATATATCAAAATAATACCAGAAAAATAACACTGACGACAGAGTTAACCTCTGTTTCTCAAGACTAACTTTATAGAAAGATAAACATGAAAAGGCCTACAACCTTTAAAATCAAAAAGAAACCAAACCCAAATTAGGTAGATCACTGGCGCAAATAAGAATGTTCAATATATGACCAAAAACCGCAGTCAAATCTTATTTACCCACAGTGAATGGACAAAGCTGTGCACAGCTTTCATCAAAAACTCATCTTTCTGGGGCACCTAGGTGGCTCAGTCGGTTGAGCGTCCGGCTTCGGCTCAGGTCACGATCTCATGGTTTGTGAGTTTGAGCACAGCATCAGGCTCTGTGCTGACAGCTCAGAACCTGGAGCCTGCTTTGGATTCTCCCTCTTTCTTTGCCCATCCTCCACTCACGCTTGGTCTCTCTCTCTCTCAAAAATAAATAAATATTAAAAAAAAAAAAAACCAACCTCATTTTCCTTATTGGAAGAGAACTATAACTGATTTACCTCCTTAATTATATTTTAATTAATTGATATTAAAATAGTTTCCATTTTTGGGGGCGCCTGGGTGGCGCAGTCGGTTAAGCGTCCGACTTCAGCCAGGTCA